AACTAATAGTTGTAAATCACAATTCAAAGAATTATAAGTAACTTTCAGTTCTAAATAAGAATAATAAAGGATAAAATACTAAGATATAATGTAAAAATATTTATAGAAATACACATATCAGAACCCTAAGGGTTTGTGACTTCCCTGCTACGCGTATGGGTCCTGTGCTTCAAGTAGTATGGGCATATACTACCTTCCGCCTACTCGTATTTGTCTCAAAGGATCATCACAAACTTCCCAAACAAGTACGGAACTAGGATACACATACATCCTACCCTCACTATAACGAGAGTGGCTAATCATTCCTTATATGGTCGGCTACTCACATACATACTCTTCCATGAAACTTCAACCAATCCTACAACTACTCGTGTATGCTAATCATACATAACATTGGATCCTACAGACAATCGAATACTTGATTCTACACTAAGACCACAACCAGAAAAAAAAAGGAGCAGGAAGTAAGGCCACATCAAACATTCTCAAGCTATAGGATCTTAGTTATGTATAACTATGATGCTTACACTAAGCAACTACAATAATGATGTCAATTTCATCTAACATATAAGAATATCTCCTACTTTATCATGCATCGTACGTCAGGAAATTATATCAAGCAATTCTTGAAGATCCCTGGCTTATCGCTAGCATGTAGTTCTATCATATCAAAACAAATAACAGTGTGGTAACTTGCGGTATACTTTCTTGCTCCGACTGATTGTGCACATCGCATCCCTCCTTGTTTACTTTTGAAAACAATTTGAATTTAATTTGAAAACTTTTGAAAAACTCTTTGAGTTTCTTAGTTTGAGGCTAGATTCACATGAATGTTCATCCAATTCTCTCAAACCAGGGATCTGATACCAACTTGTAACATCCTAAAAACACGATACAATTTTTCATTTTTAAATTAAAGAACTATTGTTTTAAATTCCAAAACCATATCAAGTCAAGGGTCGAATACAAATATTTCCCAAGATCAGAACATCAAAAAATCTCCTAAAATATGCCTTCAAAGGATGTGTACAATCATGCCTTTGCCTTGCCACGGTCATCTGAAGTACCTGAAACAATAAACTGAAATTGTAAGCCAACTCTTAGTGAGTTCCCCCAAAGTACCACCACACAACATAACATATACAACATTGCATGTTGTGTCCAATCAGTCATCAGATTGGAATACCCTTGGCCTAATCAGTCATCAGACTGGAATACCAATATATAGTGGGTCCACTTAGTCATCAGACTGAAATACCATTGGGTCCATTCAGTCATGGGACTGGAATACCCCTGGTCTATTAGCTTACGCACAAAGCAGTAAAGCCATAACCCCGAACATAACATGTCGACATATACATAACATATAATTGGTTTACAAGCTAACAGGCCGATCTATAGATCACAACCACATAGAAATATCCTATATACCAGAACTCAATTCTAATATTGCAATACAACATATCAATATCCTCTAGCCAGGATATATGATTTAGTGGATTGGCATTGGTGCCTTCGACCCATAAGTATAGTGAGGAAAACTCACATCTCAATTCGAAAAGATAGTTGATCACACCACAACTCCATGTACCAACTCTATAGGTCACATATGCAACAAACAATGACCTTGTCTTAAATTATTGTCCAAAATACCCAAATACCCTTAGGTTAAACTTGGTCAAAGTCAACAAGTCAACCTAGCCAGTCACCACGTCGTGGTTAGCTCCCATCATGCCTTAGTGACTAGAGGACAAAACACTCGCATCGCAGCCATCCACCACGTTCTTGTTACCATTCACCATGTCATGGTGACTCTTCAGACCAACTTATTCTAAGAAGCCCTTAATCCATCACGCCAACCCTTTAAACTTCCCACAAGGCATTCTCATGTCCAATGAACCATATTTTTTTTTGCTTTATAGACATGTATGTCCAATGTATGGTATGGACTCAAACTAGGTCAAAATGGAGTAAAAAGGGCCAATATCACATGCAAGAGTTCAAAGCCCTAAGAAAATCCAGATCCGTCACTCCTAACCCCAAATGGACTCTGGGAATCCATAAAGTTGTCCATTTTATGGAATTCCAACACTCCAATAAGTCCCAAGAAGAAAAACAAGGCTTAAAAATCTAGATATATGCACAAAGAACTAAAAAGCATGGAACTTGACGGCTTACAAAAGTCCAGAAGTAGCACAAAAAGAAGATAAGAAGAGCCCCTTGTTGAATCCAATCCCAAAAGTCACCTCCTTTTTCTCCTTTTAATACCCAAAAATCAATAGAAAAGGCTCAAAAAGCAAGTTAGAGGTTAGGGTTTGCTTGGAGGTTGAGAGAATATGATGGGGTCTGAGGATGAGAAACCCTCGACATTACACTCCCTTAAATAGGGGAACAACCTTGAAGGTTAGTGTTTCTCATTTAACCACCACCACGTCATGGTTATAGGCCACCATGTCGTGGTGGTCAAGATTTATACATAAAACTTGATTTCTACCTAGATCACATGTTACATTAGGCCCCCTATGATTGCAATGGAAGCAAATCGGATTAAATACATGGGTGGTGGTGGTGGCAGTACAATCCCTGCTGAAGCGACCTATCCTGATGCACTTGAACTAGCCAGAACCACCCACTTTGCAAGCCTCATCATGCTTCTTATCGTACTTTCCATAGTGGCCCCGACCCTGCTATCCGCTCAATCTTGATTCGAAAACATTGGGCCTCTTGCCTGAACCCTCAAAACTCTAAACCTGATCTGAATTTACCTTTTTCTCCATCTCTAGGTCAATCTCCTTCTCTTTGGCTCGCGCAACCTTATCATCCAGTGTCTTGCAACTGGATTAGCTGAGAAAATGTTTGATATCGCTCCTCAACATCTCGTGATATCTCACCTTCTTCATCTACTCGTCGGCCACATACTATGGAACCGGTAACACCCTCTATCAGAACATAGTAGTGATCTCTGCCACTGTCTCAGTAGTCTGGCAGAGGTACTGAAACTGAAATATCTAATATGCTCAAGATTCATATTAAAATGATATTGCTAAATAACATATGATACTGATGGGCCACACTAACAACAACTTGATACAATTGATTATTTATTAGAAATTGATTTTAATAAATATCCAATAAAACTCTTATAATTAAATTGGGAATTATTTATTTCTAGGAAATAATTAAATTTCACTAGCAAGTAACATAATACATCATATGGTATGATTTATTAAGTCACGTACAACATTTTGGACTAGTTACGCTTTTTTGTATTTTAGGAAAAGATAAAGTTTATATCTTATAAACTTTGAGTTTATAAAATATAAACAAACCCTTCTTCTTTATGCAAGTTTCGAGATTTACATAAAATGAAGAAGTGTATGACTTGTCTAATCATGCTTTAAAGGCATGGGAAACACAGTTATGACATGGAGACAAGTTTGTCTAAAGTTGAAGGAACTAATGGTTAATAACTTCACTTGAGGCACTATAAATATGAGGCTTCCACTCTTGAAGTTCTTTCCCCATTCCTTCTTGCTATGGCCAAGAGTTTCTCCCTACCTCTCCATATCTTCTCTAGCCTTGCACTTTGAAGATTTGATGCTTGCATTTTGCTCTCTTTGAACCATACTTGGGTTTGGTTCAAAGCTTAAGAGTTTTATACAAAGAACTAGCATTCTACATCAAATTGAGTCATTGTTGTTGTCTCAAATGTTCCACATTCTTCATCAACTTCCAGGCCTCCCAAGAGGACCCAAAGAACTACAAAGGTTGTTATTCATTTATCCTTCCTTTGGTTGGTGTTTAAATCTTTCTATAGTGTGCAAGAAGATCCTTGGTGGGTATAAAATGTTTATGTTATTTCAAAATTAAAGTCTTCCATTCCCATAATATTTCTAGTTTATGAAACTATTTTTGAACTAAAACCCAACAATTGGTATCAGAGCCATCTTGCAAGTTTTGTTAGATTTTTTTTGGAAATCTTAGTTTTTTAGAGAATATGGATAACTTGTTTTTGTATAAAAATAAGTTCATACATATTTTCTTTGACAACTTTTTGTTATGTTATGTTATGTGACGAAAGCTTCATGCAACTTTTGTCATTTAAAGTTGTCTTAGAAAAACAAAGGTTGTTTGATGTGTATATTGATGTATTTGATGTGCATAAACTAGCCAAGAACCATTGTGTTGCTATGTTGTTGTGTTGGTTATTTTTGTTATACAATGGTTTTAATAATTTATTTATTCATATGGTATGTAATAAATTAAGAGAGAATGTCATATATGCCATTAATAAATTGTCCGGTCTAATCTCTAAATATCATATATACCCTTTGTAAGCTTTCAAAATATCATATTTATCCAAATCTTTTTTTAAACATTTTTAATCATTTTAAATTCTTAATTTTATCAATTGACTATTACACCCTTATTATAAAGCTAAGTTTACAATATCACTTATACACTTAATAAATTGTCAAAATATCATATTTACCCAAACTATTATTTAACATAAATATTAGTCCAACAAATTAACATAAAGAGCCTAACTAACTATAAATTTTTCAAGAGAAATGCCGCAAACCAATTTTACTAACAAAAAAATAATTGTTTAACTAACATAAAACCTAAGTTCATAACATAATAAACTATATTCAGAAACAAAATATGTAATTACTGTTATGTGGAAGTGGATGTATGACTCCTATGAAGATAATAAATCCATTATACATATCTTATATTAAGTTTATGCCCGTGATTGAGACCCATAAAATATTGACCAAAATGAATTGGTAAACCGTTTCTTTAGATATTGTATTTCATCAAAGAAGTTAACAAAAAGAAAAAGTGGCGTATTAGATGAAGAAACTGGAGTGGATCCAAATAAACCAAGAAAAAAGCACAAGTTAAATGGGAATCATCACTATCAATTTATGAACAATATCAGGTAACAAGTCATCACAATCTACAGTTCTACACATATCTAAGGAATTGACAAGAACTTACTGTATATCATGACCACTCTGTTTCCACAAGTTAATGATATTAGTAGCTTGAGCAAGAATAATAATCACTTGCTTTTGAGAAATCCATGGATTCTTCTCAATCATCAGTTTAAGCTCTTCCCAAGCATCTTTCTTTGGCCAAAAATAGTAAGGACTTAATTGAATACTCTCGTATCCTAGAATCACTTCGTCTAGTGTAAGGCCGATGTTTTTCTCCATCCGTATAAACTTCAAACTAACCTTGGATTCTCCATTGGCTTCACAACAACTCCCAGTAAAAGAGTAAAACACAATTCCAAATATCTGATGATGAAATTTGTAAAACAAGATTCCAAAATTGCTAATGATGAAATCAGTAAAACACAATTCACCAGATTTTGGAATTAAAGTCATTGGTGAGGAATTAGAAACGATTCCAAAACAAGAAGTCGTCGATGATGAAATCATGTGTTGGAATTGAAGTCTTTGATCGAAGTTGGCTCACAAAAATGTCATTAATTAATTATGTTTATGCACATATCTTTTTATGCATGTTTGTGTTTTTTATTTTATGCATTATTTTGTGTGGTTGATAAAAT